CAGGTCGTCGACCCCCGTTGATAGTCCTGCAGGTCGGGACAGATGGGAGGTACACTGCCTTGACAAATAATTCTCACCAAGGCAGGTACACTGCCTTGACAAATAATTCTCCCTACCTTAACCCAGTGGGACTAGACATGATCCGTGTCCAAGAGAGGATTGGGGTAGACCACATACCTGGGGCTGGATGCTCTGTACCAAGGTCTCCTGTCCTCTCTTTGGGGAGTTGCTGCAGGCATTGGTCCTGTTCCTCTCGCAGCACCCTCAGCACATCACACAGTCGGGGGAGGGCTCCAACCTGCAAGTCCAAAACCAAGAATGCTCATCACTGCAGCAGAACTTCCTGTGAGCAACAATGGGGGCTAGACAGTGAGGATCAAAATGAGGAAGGCAAAGCCTTGCCTGCAAGGAGCTCCTAGTCCACAGTGAAATGGAAGCAGCCACTCCTGGGAGGGAATTCAGAATACAGCGAAGGCAGCTATGATTCTCATCCACTGAAAATCTTATTCTTAAGTTTATCAAGACTCCCAAGTCCAAATGAGTTACTTGCTTTCTGGGCACCTTACTATTAGTCTGTAGAAATTCATTTATTCCACTCCAACAGTGTTTGTTTCTCAGGTTTTACAAGCCTAATTTTGGTTCAGAAAAGGTCTTTGAAATGTACCCTTTACCCTCTCCCTGACCCAGAGAAGAGATCACATGCCCAAACCAGGCAAACAGGACAGCAGAGAGGGACTGGACAGGAGAGTGACAGAGAGACTGGCACACAGTCCTGACTTCCTAGATCTTTCTACAGTAGATTTCCAGAGCACAGCTCCATTCTTTCTTTTGTGCCTGTGACTTGATAAAGAAGTGAATGAATGATTGAATGAACAACTGAAAAGCTCAGTGACTTAGACTCTTATTTTACTTTGTACAGAGAATGGAACTTTAATATTACAGAATCTTCTCACATACATTAACTTACTCAATTCTCCAAACTACCCCATAAAGATAGCCAGAAAAGGAAACACACCAATAAGGGTGACCAAGGTCCTGTCCGGGGATCCTGATTTCAGAAAACAGCCTTCTGAGAGGCCAAGGACCAAATTTTACGCTTTCTTGTCAATTGTACACTAATGCTTCATAGATGGAAATTCCAACATAATAGAGCAGGAGATGTCCCTAGGGACAAGGTCACACTCCAAAATGGCCAAAATAAAAAACAAAAGCTCTGGGCCAGAGAAGGGCAGCTAAGGTAGCACTCTATTCAAGTGATTCCAAAGGCAAATGTAAATAATCTCCTGATTAACTCCTGTTTTGAAGCTTGCACATCTTATGGCCCTCCACTAATGTAGTCAGAAAAGATCTATCGTCAGCAGCTGTTCTTATCCTCCCACTCCCTGACACCAACTGGCTGGGCTTGTGGTCCCCACCGAACACACACATCACCTCCCTTGGCCCAGAACCTATGATCAGTCATAGCAGAGCTGCTGCAGAAATGCCTGGGGCTGTCCAGCTCTCAGCTTATATTATGCTCATTCCTTCCCCATTCTTCACCCCGCATTTCCATCTCACTCCTTACACAACATAGCAAATGACCTCATCACATTACTTGTTTATTTAGATATTTACATCGAAACATGCAGTTTCCCTACGAATATAGGATTTGTCCAAGGAACTGGCAATGGCATGCAGCCACACACACTCATGCCCTAGTCCTATTGTGGGGTTCCTGTATGGTCCTCACTGAAACCCATAGTCTCCAGTAACCTCTAGATTTTCAGTGGAGGCAGCAGAAGAGGTTGAACAGAAATATCTACCTTCAGATTTACAGGCACTGCTTTTAGTTCACTAAAGATCTCAAATAGACACACATTCTGTTCAGTGCCATTTCAAAACTACCAATACTTTGTTAGTGAGAAAGGTGAGAAATTGCTGGATATAAATAGGTACAATATTTTAAATAATTTCATCAAATATTCTGTCACAAAAACGTTCAGACCCTAAGCATAAGAACAAAACAAAAACTGAAGGAACAAAACAGCAGCAGACTCACAGAACCCAAGAATGAACTAACAGTTGCCAAAGGGAAAGGGACTGGGGGTGAGGTGGGTGGGAAGGGAGGGAGAAGGGGAATAAGGGGCATTATGATTAGCACACATAATGTAGGGGGGGCACGGGGAATGCTGTATAGCACAATGAAGGCAAGTAGTGATTCCGTAGCATCTTACTATGCTGATGGACAATGACTGTAATGGGGTATGTGGTGGGGACTTGATAATGGGGGGAATCTAGTAACCACAATGTTGCTCATGTAACTGTATATTAAGGATACTAAAAAAATGTTCAGACCCTTTGGCCAACTGACTCTACTTTTAGGAATCCATCCATGTGGGAAAAGCTTTCTATAGGAAGATTCTGTTCCAACTTTGTATCTAATAGGAAAAAAAAAGAGATGAATTTGATTCCAGGAAGATGGAATAAACATGCTTTTCCCCATTGCTTCCAATAAGTACAGTGAAAATCCTGGACATTATATATTAAAACAAGCATAAGAAGCCTGAAGATTGCAAGAAGGCAAAGTGACTAATCATCTGGGACTCAAGGAAGACACAGCAGCTGGTTCCCAGAGTTTCTTTTTACCCCTTATCCCTCTCTTCCCCCCATCCTCCCCAGTACCTTTCCCTTTGGTAACTGTTAGTCCATTCTTGGGTTCTGTGAGTCTGCTGCTGTTTTGTTTTGTTTTTCTCTTTGTTCTTATACTCCACAGATGACTGAAATCATGTGATACTTGTCTTTCTCCATCTGGCTTATTTCACTGAGCATAATACCCTTTGGCTCCATCCATGTTGTTTCAAATGGTAGGATTTATTTTCTTCTTATGGCTGAACAATATTCCACTGTGCATATGTACCACATCTTCTTTATCCATTCATCTACTCATGGACACTTAGGTTGCTTCCATTTCTTGGCTATTCTAAATAGTGCAGCTATAAACATAGGGGTGCATATGTCTTTTTCAAACTGGGCTACTACATTCTTAGGATAAATTCCTAGGAGTGGAATTCCTTGGTTAAAGGGTATTTCTATTTTGAGTTTTTTGAGGAATTTCCATACTGCTTTCCACAATGGTTGAACTAATTTAATTTCCCACCAGCAGTGTAGGAGGGTTCCTCTTTCTCCACAACCTTGCCAACATTTGTTGTTGNCTGTTAAGTATGATGTTGGCTGTGGGTTTGTCATATATGGCCTTTATTATGTTGAGGTACTTGCCCTCTATACCCATTTTGTTGAGAGTTTTTATCATTAATGGATGTTGAATTTTGTCGAATGCATTTTCAGCATCTATGGAGATGATTATGTGTTTTTTGTCCTTCCTTTTGTTGATGTGGTGGATGATGTTCATGGATTTTTGAATGTTGTATCATCCTTGCATCCTTGAGATGAATCCCACTTGATCATGGTGTATGACCCTCAATGTATTTTTGAATTTGGTTTGCTAATATTTTGTTGAGTATTTTTGCATCTATGTTCATCAGGGATATTGGTCTGTAATTTTCTTTTTTGGCAGGGTCTTTGCCTATTTTTGGTATTAGAGTGATGCTGGCTTCATGGAATGAGTTTAGAAGTATTCCCTCCTCTTCTGCTTTCTGGAAAACTTTCAGGAGGATGGGTATTATGTCTTCTCTAAATGTTTGATAAAATTCAGCAGTGAAGCCATCTGGGACAGGCATTTTGTTTATAGGAATATTTTTGATTACCAGTTCAATATCATTGCTGGTAATTGGTATGTTCAGATTTTCTGTTTCTTCCTGGGTCATTCTTGGAAGGTTGTATTTTTTTAGGAAGTTATCCATTTCTTCTTGGTTATCGAATTTCTTAGCACATAATTTTTCATAGTATTCTCTAGTAATTCTTTGTATTTCTGTGAGGTCCATCATGAATTTTCCTTTCTCATTTCTGATTCTGTTGATGTGTGTAGACTCTCTTTTTCTCTTAATAATTCTGGCCAGGGGCTTATCTATTTTGTTGGTTTCACTGATTTTTTTCTATTCTTTTATTCTTCTCAATTTTATTTATTTATTCTCTGAACTTTATTATGTCCCTCTTTCTGCTGACTTTGGGCCTCATTTGTTCTTCTTTTTCTAGTTTCAATAATTGTAACTTTAGACTATTCATTTGGCATTGTTTTTCCTTCTTTAAATGGGCCTGGCTTGCTATATACTTTCCTCTTAGAACTGCCTTTGCTGCATCCCACAGAAGTTGGGGCTTTGTGTTGTTGTTGTCATTTGTCTCCATATATTGCTTGATCTCTGTTTTAATTTAGTAATTGATCCATTGATTATTTAGGAACATGTTGTTAAGCCTCCATGTGTTTGTGAGCCTTCTTCTTTTCTTTGTACAATTTATTTCTAGTTTTATGCCTTTGTGGTCTGAGAAGTTGGTTGGTAGAATTTCAATGTTTTTGAATTTACTGAGGCTCTTTTTGTGGCCTAGTATGTGGTCTATTCTGGAAAATGTTCCATGTGCACTTGGGAAGAATGTGTATCCTGCTGCTTTTGGATGTAGAGTTCTGTAGATGTCTATTAGGTTCATCTGTTCTAGTGTGTTGTTCAGTGCCTCTGTGTCCTTACTTATTTTCTGTCTGGTGGATCTGTCCTTTTAAGTGAGTGTTATGTTGAAGTCTCCTAGAGTGAATGCATTGCATTCTATTTCCTCCTTTGATTCTGTTAGTATTTCTTTCACATATGTTGGTGCTCCTGTATTAGGTGCATATATATTTATAATGGTTATATCCTGTTGTTGAATCCCTTTATCATTATGTAATGTCCTCCTTTAGCTCATGTTTCTTTGTTTTGAAGTCTATTTTGTCTGATACAAGTACTGTAACACCTGCTTTTTTCTCCCTTTGGCTTGCAGTAAATATCTTTTTCCAGCCCCTCACTTTTAGTCTGTATATGTGTTTGGGTTTGAGGTGCGTCTCTTGTAAGCAGCATATATATATGGGTCTTGCTTTTTTATCCATTCTATTACTCTGTGTCTTTTGATTGGTGCATTCAATCCATTTACATTTAGGGTGATTACTGAAAGATATGTACTTATTACCATTGCAGACTTTATATTCATGATCACCAAAGGTTCAAAGTTAGCTTCTTTACTATCTTACTGTCTAACTTAACTCACTTATTAAGCTATTATAAACACAGCGTGATGATTCTTTTTTTCTTTACCTTTTTATTATTCCTCCTCCATTCTTTATATGTTGGGAATTTTATTCTGCACTCTTTTGTATTTCCTTTGACTGCTTTTGTGAAT